TACTGAAGGAACCGAACTATACTGGATTGCCTCGTTGCTGTTCTTGGGCTGAACCTGACAGATTTAAGTTTTCACAGACTTCAGCCCCTTCATTAATTACATCAGATGTTGTACACAAAATGTTGTGCTACATTGTATACAAAAAGTTGTCTACTTAAGGTATCACAAGCACCACCGTTTTCACTGCATTGAACTAATATCCACCTTCTGGAAACAGTTACATATTTTAACTATTATTCAATAAAGCACAGAAAATGTACTGAAAAACAGAATATTTAGGAATTCTTAAAAAAATTACTGCAAAAATAGCTTATTTTGTCAAAGATAATAGTAAATAACATACATTTTCAAGGAACTGCAAGAAAAGTCTGATTTGTAATTTAAGCTTGGGTGTTTATGTTTATGTAAGTGCTATATTAACTGTATCAGTATAAAGAAAGTGGTTATTATTTCTCCTGAACACTATACTTACTGATAAAATATCTTGAGTAACATCATTGAGAGGCTTGTCGCTGTAAGCCTGTTTGCTCTTCTGAAGATATCTTCTCCAAAAATTATACAGAACTTCATCCTGATAAGAACCAGCGTATTATTCATAAATATTAGCATATAGGAAGCTTTCTCATTCATACATTTTGATGAGGTTGTCTGTATCCTAGAACTCACATTAAACCAACCATAGGTTTTGTAGTTGTTGTTGTTTTAATGCTTTAGTACAGAAAGAAAGAAAAAAGATAAAAAGGAAAAAGGAAAAAAGTGACACATGATTTCTCTCTATATGTATAGATGACAGTTATATGAAACATTAAACCTTGACACATGGAATAATATTGATTAGGCTTTTTTGCTTATGACACATGTTTGGTAAATTCACTGGTCTTCATCTATTGATAGATGAAAAACTGTGGTATCTAATTCAAAATCACACTCACATTTTTAAAACACATTAATTTTTCCAAAACCATATTAAAAATCTGTTGACATTAAATCAAAATGGAACAATTTCGGGGCATTTACACTTCCAGCATAATGACGTTAACTGTCAGCCTTTTTAAAACATTCTGAAGTTTCCAATCAACATGAACAAAAATCTTTAGCTGAATCAGTCTCATTTAGATATTATAGGCAATATATTTAATATACTTTAAAAACTTTTAACACAATTTGCTAATATGGGATATTCCAACTCTTTATTCAAACTTCATGCAAATAAGTGATATCTATTCAATTAACAGTACTTTTTACTTATCTATTACAAATACTGCAGATTTAGAATCATCCAAAGCATATTTCAATGCAGATAGTAGTTCAGGAATAAGAAACTGCTTATTTGGACCAAATTGTTAAATCAAACAGTATTTTAATTGGATATATTGCCAGTTTGCAATATTCCTGACTCAATAATTCAAACTGGTTAAAAAATTGATGGGTAATAAGCTCATCTAAAGTATTAATATCTCTGTTAGCCCATGAATTTAAAAAGATTTACCTACTTCTAGAATAGGAGGCCCTTCAGTCACTCTTGTCCTCATCACCTCTCAACTGCATTACTGAAATGCACCCTACATGGGGCTGCCCTTGAAAATCACTTGGAAACTACACCAGGCAGCTGTGGACATGTCACATTACGCTTATGTGTCATCCCTGCTTTGTGAGCTGCACTGGTTGCCAGTTGGCTTCTGAGTGCAATTCAAGGTGCTGAACGTTACCTATAAAGCTCTACACGGCTCAAGGCCTGGCTGTTTGAGGAACCATCTATGTCAGATAGTTTTTGCCTGCCCAGTGAGATCAAGCAGAGTGCATACATTCCAGGTTCCATCAATTAAACAAAGTCTATCAGGACCTAGGCAGCACACCCTCTGTGTTGCAGTGCCTGCCCTCTAGAACAGCATCTCCCAGATATTTCTATGGCTCTTACTCTACAGCTGTTTTTCAAGTTATTAAAAATGTGGTTCTGCTCCCAGGCCTCGAGTTAGGGTGGATGCCCAGCCTTTGTTAGCTTTTTGTTGATTTGGGGGATGTTTGGTTGTTTTCTTTTCCAGACATGCATGTTTTTTTACTATTTGGTCTTTTTGTTTGTATTGTAAGCCACCCAGAGATTTCTGGGAGTTGGGCAGTCTCCAAATCTAATAACAAATAAATAAATAATGCTACTACCACCCCAATCATCACATGATAATTGCAATACAAAGAAAATATAGAGTATCATCCTTCCCATAAAGCTTTCCTAAAAGTTATCAATTACTTGAAATACGCTAACAGATGTTTCCAAGACTTGTCCTTCTTGTTCTAAATCAAGGCTCAATATTATACACAAAAAAACAATATAAAACCATTATGTGGTCTTTTTTTGTTTTGTTTTGCTTAGTGTGTGTTGCACGAACCTACCCACAACCTAGCATACTGTGTAACCCCAGATAGCTGCTTTATTTTTAAAATGGTTAAGCAAACTGTGATTAACCTCATTACTGAACAGAGCAAAATACCTTCATCTGAGAAGACACTCCTAAAGACTGCAGAGCTTCAGCTTGCTTCCGAAGAATATATTGAAAGCCTTCACATATGAACCATTCCCATCCTTTATCTAAAAAATTAATGGAAAGTGAAATCTTATGAGTAGCTTATTTTTGTCATGGCTCAAATTATATCAGTTGGAAACTTTAGAACGGATTCTTAAACGTACTTATTAGGGAGAAAATACTGAAAATAGACAAAAATAAATTGCACAATTAGCATCTACAGTACATACCAGACAAACCTAGAAGGTGACAGTGGCAAACCACTTCTCTATCATACCAAAAATACTGCCTGGATGTGTCCATGTAAGGCACTGGGGGTCAAGCTTCATTCAAAAGTGACCTTACTTTAACCAGATATAACAAAAACTAGCAGTTATACTCAAATAACTATCTATTACACAAATTGCTCTTTCCAGTGAGATGCATATAGTTCTATTTCAGGAAAGAATTTTAGTTCTAGTTATATATGTAGGTTATTGAAAAGGATTTTGACGTACATCAATGCAGCTGATTAGACAAACCAGCTATATAAAAACGATATATTCCTAAACGTATATTTTTCAGTCTCCCTTCTTACCATTTTTCATTCACTATCAGCTATCAATTTAGCCCTGATGGTAGCAAAAATATCAGTGTTTACACTGATCAACAGAGATAGGGATGTAAATGTTACATCCATGTTAGCCCAAGGTCCGAGGAAAAAACAGGTTATAAGGGTTTTTTGAGGTCATGATGGAGGCTATGTGAATCTCAGGGAGGAATGCTGTTCCAAAGAGCAGAAGTGGAAACACAGAAGGCATGTTTTCTGGGTCCCATTTTATCAATGTGATCCAGAGTAGGCTGACTCTGTCAGACCAAACAGGACAAGCAGATACTATGACAGACAGTCCCTCAAGTAGCTAGGCTCTATGCCATGAAGGGCTTTAAAGGTGATAATCAGCACTTTGAATTGCACCCAGAAACTTATTGGTAACCAGTGCAACCTCTGAAGCAGAGGTGTTCATAATATAACAATTGCCTGGCTAACACATTCTAGACCAGCTACAACTTCCAAGTGGTCTTCAAAGGCAGATCCATGTAGAGTGCATTAAAACAGTCCATATGCAAGATGACCAAAGCATGAGTGATCAAAGAGCCAGCTGGTTCACAGAAGGGAGCAAGTGGCACACAAAATTAATCTGTGCAAAGGCCATCTTGGCCACAATTGCCACCTGCTCCTCAAGTAGGAGCCAGAAGTCCGTGAACACTCCCAAATTGTGCACCAGCCCACTGCACCAGGGCAGTGTCACCCTACTCAGGACTAAGGATGGATGTTCTCTGGATCCAGGGTACCCAAACAAGCACATCCACTTAGTCTTGTCAGAGTTGAGCTTGAGCCTGTTTCTCCCCATCCAGGCACTCACAGCCTCCAGACACTGGGATAGCTCATTGTTAGCATTGCTTAGTCAGACGAGAATTGAGATATACAACTGTCTATCATCAGCGCACTGGTGATACCTAACCCCAAACTGATGGATGATCTCACCCAGCAGATTCATGTAGATTTTAAACAGAAGGTGCAAGAGTATCTAGCCTTGTGGCACACCACTTCTCAGGGGCATTAGGCTCAATCTCTTCCCTCCATCAACACCATCTGGAAGCAACCATGGAGAAAGGAGAACCCCTGCACCACAAGTCAATGGGGAAGCAGGCAGGAAGTCAAGGTCATGTGAGGTTCTCACTTAATGACCACACAATCCTTGCTTAACGATGGCAACCAGGACTTAGTTCCCGTACCTACAGCCGTCATAACCCAAGGACTACTGTTGTAACTCCTGGTCTAAAACACAATTGAAAGTGATCAAGATAATCCATTTTCTCCAGAACCCTTTTAATAAATCACTGTGTATCCATGTGTCTAGAAGTTTTTTTAAACTGAAGCTTAAATTCTCACACTATGACTATAATATAAAGTATTGCTCTGTATATAATCCCTTAAGCCTATGTTCTTAATCATTACAAGTGAATGGTAAAGTACTTTGTGCCTTAGAAAATGCTAGAAGTTTAAAAAAAATGGCAAGGGTTGCAATATTTTTCTTTTTATGTTTTCTAAAATGCAAGAGTGGAGAAAACTATTTAGATCCAAAAACTAGATCAGCTGTCTCATATAATCTGGAGGAGCCATAGCCAATTTGCATGTTTTGTCTGAATATATTTGGCATGCTTGAATCTATTATTACTTTGTATACGCTTCCTATTATACAGTGGGGCAAAAAAGTATTTAGTCAGCCACCAATTGTGCAAGTTCTCCCACTTAAAAAGATGAGAGAGGCCTGTAGTTTTCGTCATAGGTATACCTCAACTATGAGAGACAAAATGAGAAAAAAAATCCAGAAAATCACATTGTCTGATTTTGGACCAAAGTAACAAAGGCTACCATCAGTAACACACTATGCCGCCAGGGACGTATTTGTTAAAGACAACTACAGTGGGGCAAAAAAGTATTTAGTCAGCCACCAATTGTGGACCAAAGTAACAAAGGCTACCATCAGTAACACACTATGCCGCCAGGGACGTATTTGTTAAAGACAACTACAGTGGGGCAAAAAAGTATTTAGTCAGCCACCAATTGTGGACCAAAGTAACAAAGGCTACCATCAGTAACACACTATGCCGCCAGGGACGTATTTGTTAAAGACAACTACAGTGGGGCAAAAAAGTATTTAGTCAGCCACCAATTGTGGACCAAAGTAACAAAGGCTACCATCAGTAACACACTATGCCGCCAGGGACGTATTTGTTAAAGACAACTACAGTGGGGCAAAAAAGTATTTAGTCAGCCACCAATTGTGGACCAAAGTAACAAAGGCTACCATCAGTAACACACTATGCCGCCAGGGACGTATTTGTTAAAGACAACTACAGTGGGGCAAAAAAGTATTTAGTCAGCCACCAATTGTGGACCAAAGTAACAAAGGCTACCATCAGTAACACACTATGCCGCCAGGGACGTATTTGTTAAAGACAACTACAGTGGGGCAAAAAAGTATTTAGTCAGCCACCAATTGTGGACCAAAGTAACAAAGGCTACCATCAGTAACACACTATGCCGCCAGGGACGATTTTTTTCCCCATTTTGTCTCTCATAGTTGAGGTATACCTATGATGAAAATTACAGGCCTCTCTCATCTTTTTAAGTGGGAGAACTTGCACAATTGGTGGCTGACTAAATACTTTTTTGCCCCACTGTAGTTGTCTTTAACAAATACCAGTCCTAATGCACTTTTAACAGTATTATGATTCTAAAGCGCTTATCCTCAATTTTGAAAATAAAAAACATCAGATTCTGAAAAGTAGGCTTGCAAAGCATTACTCTCAGAAAACAAAATTGTCTCCATATAAATTATTCATTTCAGATTCTTACCACTTTATATCCATGTGTGTAGAGGATTAGACTTTTTTTACACTAAAGATCTGGCTCTCATCCTATGAATATCCCTGTGCCCCACAGATTATATTGATCACTCCTGCTGCAGAACTGACATGAACAAGCACATCATATTGGATGACTATAACTTGTTCAGCATTAGCTGTATAAGGTGGGAAAAATCAACATTCCATACTTTTATAACAAACTGATAAAACATAAATCTTACCAAATTTATTCTTTCTTTTTCTTAATCCTCTAGAGATAGACTGTGCCCTTGCATTAGTGGTAACATCACCAGTTAGAACTTCTCTAGTCTTCTGCAAGAGTTTTGAAAACATGTAATGTTAATAAATATGCCCAAAATTATTCAGCCTTTTTACATTTACTTTAATTAAGCAACAGTGATCTTGGGATGGAGAATACAGTAAGCAGGATATATGCACACAGCTGTCATCAAGACAGGCTTTCATTTGGATAGGAACCCGCAACAGATTCACAAAACTCTCCTGAATGGCTGAGTTACCAGGCCCCAATATGTGTCCCCTTCCAGTGCCAATCATTCTTTCATATAGATAGCTGCACTTAAAACAACTAGATCAGGTCTACAATTATTTAAGAAGTTCACATATTATGTTCATGTATTTAACCTTTAAAAATCTACACTTAAAATTAAGGTGAGTTTTGAAATGGGGAAACAAATAACAGCAACCTTACTTCTATAACAGTGTGACAAGATGTGCAGTAAAATCTGCCTTCTTCTGTAATGCTCCAGCTGATAGCAGAACAATATCCACAAGGTTCATTGTAGTCTCTCTAAAACAAACAATGTGAAATGTGAAAATGTCAATACTTTTCATTGCATCCAAATGCACAATGCTATGAAATACTATGGCAACTTCTAAGAAAAATACTTTAGCATATTACAGCACGTATCTTATTTGGTCATAATATACAGTCTGCATATAATGTGGTTTTTTAAAAAAGTACTATGGTCATGCATATCTGCAAATAAATTCAGGGTGATTTCCTTCAACTAAGCATGTATAAAATTGTACTTGATTTTGTGACATACAGTCCTATGTATGCTTACTAGACAACAGTCGCCTTGATCACAGGGGAGTTTACTGCATATAAACAAAGTGCTACCATCACTGTTATGCAACTAAATATTTACTCTCACAATTGTGATTCTTCTCCTCTGCTTTGCAACTCAAATCCACAAACCCTGGAGCACACTTGGGGGAGGGCGTAAGATGGTGGAGAGGGAATAACTGATAGATAAAATTAACTACACTCCACCACTAAGATGCATGGGTGTACCGTTAATGTCTTTATCTGTAATAAATGTGATTTCAGTCCACACACACGCTTGGTTTTGATTGTTGCAAAATTTACTCTTTTTTCTTGATCTAAATGATGCAAAGAACAGCTCCATAGGAGGAGGTTGGAAACCCCAACACCTTACAGAGGGATGGAAACTCAAGCAACAAACAGAAAAGACCAAATCAGGGGCACAAAATCCAGACGACCATTAGATGGCTGTAAAGAGAATTTTCTATGCCGCTTTACTGCTGCCACGTACGTACTGGTCGTCCAGATTTTTGAATCCAGATTGTAACCTCTAGGTTAAGTATTCCCTCAAGGTATGTCTTTCCTCTCAAAGATTCCTGAATTTAACCAATTAAACTTTCTCCAGCATGGTTGTGAAATAAAAGCAAACAGCCTGCGATAGTTACCGACAAGCTGTTAAAGATACAAGATGCATGCTTAAAAAACAGATCCTACCTACGTCATTATTTGCCCACAAATGTATACATAAAATTATTTTCCCGCTCACTCCCTCCCTGTTTTATTCTCAATGTGCAATACGCGCTACCTAGTCCTCATGTCTGTTACTAAAATGCCGCCGCCCCCCACCCCAGCCACGTTCCAACCTCACCGCGTCCTCCTCCTCCATCGCGTGCCCCGTTTCACGCGCCAGCGATCACCGCGACTGCGCCATAGCAACCAACTTGTGATGCCGGGGAGCAACGGAAACAGCTACCGGCCGGGAAACGAGACCTCGAGCTCTTGGGTTCCGAGGTTGGTAATAACAGCGGCTGCTTTCTGCGTTAACGTGATGGTCTACAATACTTATAGCTGCGGGCTTGAAGGCCGAGAATTTTAAGCTGCGTACTCTTACATCGAAGTGCAAGTTATATTCAGGGTTTGGTTGCTGGAAATGAAAAGTAGAAATATCTATTATGAATGGATGAATGACTATTGGATCCATGTAATTTAACAAAAGGACACAACAAACGTTCCAGAACATTTTTTAAATCATAAAAATCAAGGATGGGTACTTGTGCAGCAGTTAGTTATAAGCAGAGAGGCCTGGTTAAGATAGAGCAGTGTTTCTTAAAGTGCGGTTCTAGGACCCCTGGGGGTCCCCCAAGACCCTCTCAAGGGTCTGCAAAATCAAAATTATTTGCCAGCCTATGTTGCAAAATAATACAATATTGAAATCACACCAAACAATCATGAGCAGCGGTAGTGGCAGTGAATGCCTCAATCTTAATTTTTAATATGGTAAATATTGATAAATATAACCCATACAAATAAAAGTTGTTTTGGGGTCTTCCATAATATTTAAAAGTGGGAAGCGGTCCTGAGAGAAAAAAGTTTAACAGAGAGAGAACTAGAGACCCAAGTTTGTGTTGTGTGTGAATCTCCCCCCTCCTGCCATTACAGCTGCTTTAATAGGGAGCAGTCTTTGCCCCCCCCCCCCCCCCTGTTCCTGAGTTTCAGATCCTGGCATCTTTCACCATTAGTTTTGTAGACTGAAATGCTGGCCATTGGAAGTTTAGTGAGATCTAGAGGAAAGCCTGTTGCTTATTTCTGCTAGAGATCAAAAGCCCCTGAATCTATACATTAACCAGTGTTGTTTGAACAAAGGACTACAGTTGGTTTAAATTATGGTCTGCCAATAACAGTGGTGTATTATTTGGCTTCCTCGGGAAAAATGCAAAGTAATGAACTTGGTTTAATTTTAAAATAAATAGATACTTCCAATCACCACCTTGCAGCAATACTGGAGGCAGGGAGGAATACAATGGCTCATAATTATTTTACTGCTACAATCCAATCATGGCTGTCTCTATATATTTGGCTAAATTTTATTTACATTCATTTATCCTATTTATAATCTGCATTTCTACTCTGGCAAGCAGTGAGTATTCAAGGCAGCTAACAAAACATTAAGGACAAGAACAGAAGAATCAGAAATATTAAAAATGTAATTTAATCCTAAAATTAGCAACCAAAAGCCTGGTGAAGGAGGTGTATCTTTAAATAAGGTGTTTCACTACAGGATACTGCTACACTTTTTCAGAAGTTTACTGTTGTGATACCTTACAGCACTGTGCACCTCTTGGGTAACAATAATAGAAATAAAATAGAATATTATGTCTTTTCATGTTTATTTTCTTCCCTTTATGATCTCACTCCTCCTGAGAGCAGAAGTTGATTTCACCAGTTCAAACGTACTATCAAATGTACAATTACTATCCTTGTCTATATGATATTTTAGGCTTCTTTTAAAGATACTTTTAACATGCAGCATTGTTTTGTAATTAGTAATAATTTCTTAGCTTTCATGCATATTAATATTTTACAAATGCAATTGAAATCATATACCATAAGCAAATTTTAAAAATAGCAATTTTGTTTCTCTTTCCTTCTGATGAGGTTTAAAAATGTATATTTGCTGTTGAAAATTTGGGTGTTATCAGAATTATGTTCTGTAATGTTTATTGTACATTTTGTGTTAATTGTCAATTTAAAAAATACAAGTCATAGATATTAGCTATATAATCTCTCTTCTGCACCTCTTAATATGAAGTTAGTTTTTCCAAATCCTAGTTTTTATACTGCAAACCTAGTTTTATTTCTTAGGCATGCTGTTTTGGATTCTACCAAATTAACAGTCTTAGTAGCAGCTAAAAGGCTTATTGTTCATCTTGGTCATTGTATCAGAATTTGAACTACTAAAGGACTGTATCATCTGCAAATTTTGTAAAATTGTCACTTATTTTACCCAGGGTGTCTGGAGTCTCAGCCATTGCACAGTCTGTTGATTGCTTTATGACTCAGTGCATCATGTAAACTAAGAAAATTGGATGAATTCCATAAACCGTATTTAAATTAATCTTAGATAAGTATGTCATGTGAATGTACCCATTACGTGGATGCTACTTGGCAGGGATATGGGAAATACTGATGGATAAGAACCTACCTTGTGCCTAGAGCAAGCCATGTTCAGAACTGGCTGATTCCTCTTGATCCATCACATGTTGTTAAAGGGAGATCAATCTATATTCATATGGAGTTTTAATTCTTTTACAGCAATTAATACATCAAAACTTGGCAGTATGTAATTTATCAACGTACATGATAATTACTTTTTATAGACAAGGTTCACACAACAAAGTAACTTGTTTTACCCACAAACTAGCCTATCATATTTTAGTCTGCTGCGTTGTGTGAATTTAGCCTGTGTAGTTAGTTAATGGTTTAATGGGTTCTCTGTACAGTACCGAGTATATAAGCTTAATTGGAAAAAAAATAGTTAATTCAACCATGCAAATATATATCACGCAAACACGAACCTTAAGTCAGAAACTAGCCAATTATATTTCTAATGTGGAGTTGTGTATATACAA